TCCTTGACACATTATGAGCATTTAGGTGAGGATCAGATTCCTCTGAGACCCTGCACTGTCGTTTGCACTGGAGGTAATGAAGCGTAGGTGATTCAGGGCACCCCTTGTGTCTAGAAGCAAGCAGCATCCTCTACACTGGACTGGAGAGCTACACAAGGGACAGGCAGAAGCCTGAAATGGACTTTTCAAAGTGAGAAATGTTGTGTAACTGTCATAAATAGAAGTTTTCAGAAACAACTGAAAATAACTGACTGAAAGTATTTTCAAAGCAAGTTTGTAAAGTTTTCCTATATGCTTCCAGTTCTACAGGCACTGAAAATATTAAATACTTCCTTCTGTGTGGCATACGCTATCTATCTGCTCTGTATTCTTCCCCTGTTCTCGGCACTGGTGATGCCACACCTGGAGTATTGCGTCCAGTTCTGGGCTCCTCACTTTAGGAGGGATGTTGAGGTGCTTGAGCATGTCCAAAGGAGAGCACTGAGGCTGGTGAGGGGCTTGGAGCACAAGCTGTATGAAGAACGACTGAGGGAGCTGGGGTTGTTCAGCCTGGAGAAAAGGAGACTCAGGGGTGACCTTATCACTCTCTTCAGCTTCCTGAAGGGTGGCTGTGGTGAGCTGGGGGTCGGTCTCTCTCCGGACAACAACAGACATAACAAGAGGACACAGTCTCAAGCTGTGCCAAGGGAGATACAGGCTAGAATTAGGGAGGAAGTTTTTCACAGAAAGAGTGGTCAAATATTGGAATCATCTACCCAGGGGGGTGGTGGAGTCACCATCCCTCGATGTGTTTAAGGGAAGACTGGATGTGGCACTTGGTGCCATGATCTAATTGAAGTATTAGAACATGGGTGCGACTCGATGATCTTAAAAGTCTCTTCCAACCTAAAAATTCTGTGATTCTGTGATTCTGTATCACAGGCTATGGAAGTTCCCAGAGAAACCATGCACAAAGTAGGGGTGCCTGAAAGTTTTTATTGATTTCTCATAATTGTTGCTTGTCCAGACCCAAAAGAACAGAAATGATGAGGAGAAAATACAGGTCACGCCAAACAAGCATCTCAGTTGGAGGCAATGGTGGACTGGATCCAGGAGACGTAGTTGCAAACCTTGGTGTAAACTCCGGGAAGGCCCCGCTGGGCACATCCATAACCCCAGGAGAC